CGCCGCACAGTCAGAATCTAAATCCGTGAGATTTAAATAAGTGATTCTTCGGTTGAAGTGTTCATAATAAATCCGGATTTTCCTCGTGATCAGACCCTCTCGAATTTCGTGTTTAGGAGTTTCTCCTAAATTCGCCAGTTAGGAGCTACTTTTAGCCCTAAGATCCTTTGTGAATACGGCCCCTGATCTTCATTTGACCCTCTTCAGCCACTGTTTTCTATCAGATCATCAACTGGTGGTTAAAGGGGCCTATTATGCTCAATTTCAGGTTTGATGTTTGTATTTTGGGCCTCTACTGGGACATGTCTCCATGCTTTAATATTCAAAAAGGTCTTTCTTTTTCTTATACCGCCTGTGCTGCAGCACCTCTTTTCTCCCTCAGTCTGAAACCAGAGCCCAGTCTGCTCTTATTGGTTAGATGGCTGGCTCTGTTGTTATTGGTCAACTGCTTAGAGATGTCCTGCCCCTTAGTCTATCACGTACAATGCATTTGTGAACTAGTGCAAGTGTTACATGTTTGTGTCAATATGTAATGGAAGTAAAAGGGAACTTTAGGATCTCAGCCTTTGCAGACATTTACATGCACAAAAACCTATAACACAGTACAGGAAAGGGAAACCCCCAAAAAGCACAATAGGGCCCCTTCACACATGTCTGGTGTTAAGGCTCAATTGTGAGGTAACTTTATAGTAAAGACAAACAATGAGGTGCCCGACACTGCCCAGGTCCTGTGATGTATTGCACTTCTTATTGAGGAAACAGGTTACTCCTACACATTCAAACCTCCATGAATCAGTCTGGATTCCAAAGTGTTTCTGCTATCTTCTTCAGTGATGTGACCTTCGACCTTTGTTCACATTTTTCTAAATTCCACTGACTGAAAACACAGCTTTCTAACATGGAAAAAGGGGGTTTCGGACGTATACAGTGCTTTCTGTTGTTCTCTAGTTTCCTACATTTTCTGATACTTTAACAAACAGAATAGGAACCCTGTGACCTCTGAAAGTCCACATACTTCAAGTTTGACTTCTTTGGTTGTCATGTTTCAAAATATCATATTCAACAGGGGGAGCCCAGTGTGATGAAATGGATCTCAATGCCTATGTAAAAGAAGTCATGTCATCAGGAGGAGTTTGTATTGTGAGAAAAACAGTATAGTATTGAACATAAAAAAAGGGCACCGCACTCCTCACTTCACATTTAACAAAACCTCAGTAAAAGGAAAAAGAAAGAACCATGAAAAGACCCGGTCACAAGACAAACTGATACAGATCAGCCTCAGACCTGTAGTGCTCCAAAATCCCCTAGAGTAAAGCAAACTGTTAAACTAACAAGAGATATTTATCTGGGACACGGACAGAATAGATACAACAAAAAAAAAACACCATGTCTTTGAATAGGGCCAGAAAGACCAGCATATACAGTAACCGTATCTCTGTATAAGGTGGTGCAGGAATGAGTCCTAAACTCTGAAATAAGTAAGCATTTTAGCACTAACGGGTGCCCTCTTCTCAAAGTGAATGGTGTTTTGAATGATGTTTTGGCTAGTCTGAAATAAGGTCTGTGTTTAATACAAGCTGAAGAGATTCTGACATTGTGTTTTATGACATCATATACGTTAGGGCTGCTCAATTAATCGTATTTTAATCGCGATTATGATTATGGCTTGCAACGATTATTAAAACAACGTAATCGAAATAAAACGATTTTTTTTTTCTCCAATAAATTTATGTTTTCAAAGTCAATGAATAATCGCATTTAATAATCGCAATTACAATTATTGACCCAAAAAATCGAGATTATGATTTTTGCCATAATCGAGCAGCCCTAATATACTTCAGTAAATACCCCACTCGTGAATGTCAATCTTTTACCTGTCTTAAAAAAGGCAGTTTAGTTTAGTGGTGGAGACGTGAAGACATGCGATTCCTGATGTAGTTTGTTTATAGCCTTATACTAGCTATTGACCTCTGGAAGTTGCATTTGTACTTTAACTGTTATTAAAGTGGTATTAATATGTGGGGATAATCCTGCTAACGTACCGTGTAAGTATAGGACCAAATGTGTGTTTGCCACAGATTTTCTTTTCGGCAATATTCCAAAAATCTAACGTAAAAATCCCATAGCTTTTTAAATCGAGGAAGCCTTTGCGATGCCAACTTCAGGGTCAGCCTACAAAAGTACTTCACCACTGCACCACTCAATAGCGGTGACCTATGAGTGGGTTCTAATCTACAGGGCCATGTCCTATCCTGTCTTGTCCTATCCTGTCCTGGCAGCAAACCAAATGTGCAGGAAACTCTTTAGTCCTATTCAATTCTTAACATCTAACTGGTGGATGTAGTGAAAAGGAGGAAACACCAGCCACGGCAGCAGTTTCCTTTCTTAACAAGAGATTCTGTAAGCAGAAGAGATGATACCTGGGTCAGTAACCAGATCAGCAGGCAGGACATACAGCGTGTCAGAATCTTTAACGCAGCGTTAAGACACAAAGCACAGAACCAGTGTCAGCAGGGCATTAACGCACGCTACATGTGGAAAACAATCAAGATGGCATCAAGGAAAAACTATTCTCTTTTTTTTTCAAGCACTATACTAAAGTAAGTCACCAAAGTTTGACTGGATTTAGGAAAGCATAGACCAGAAAAGCAAACAACAGGCAGCGAGTAGGACCAAAGTTCAAAGTGACTGAACTTTGAGTGTTTGGTTGACAAGTCTGAGCAGTGCGTCAGAAAGAATGATCTAGCACTGAGTTATTTGTCTACCAGTCATAGTTGGCTTTGTGTTTTATTACACCTGTCCCTTCATCCTTGTTTCTCCCACTAGCTGAGCCATTGATGAGCGCCAACGCTATGTCCAGCTATTTGAGCTAAAGTGACTAAATTATGCAAAGTTCCAAAATGTATTACTTTTTATTATTGATTGATCTAGCAATTACTATATTGATTAAATCATAACTCTTTAAGACCATAGGTCCAACATTCCAACATTGGACAGCAATTGTTATTGTTTGTAAATAAGAAATGTAATTACTTTTTAAAACATAAATGAGATTGAACTTAAATGTGCTGATATTTGCCCATTCAACGTTTTGTATTTAGAAAGCAATTTTGCATTAACAAAGCAAGAAGAGCTAAGTGATCCAGAGACAGGATGTATGAGCCGAGTGATTCATTCACTGACTACAGTCTTTGCATCAGGTCTTGACTTGATGTGCATACTGACTGAATGACTGACTGACTAACTTTGAGTGATTGACTCTGGGCATGCCTTGAAAACAGAGCAGGCTGTATCAGCTGACTGACTCAAAGTCATGCCTGTAAATTATTAACAGGATCCGCTGATGGTGACTTGGTCTGGAAATAAGAGTAAGGAGCAGGAGAACTGGAGTGTGTCAGCGAGGATGGAGAATTAGTCATTTTGATCTTTTCTTGGAGTGCCTGTTCAGACAGCTGAGCTGACATCATCCCGTTTTGTAACTACAGGCTGCAGGGGCTGATTGATAGACACCAGACAGTGTTTCCCTAGTCAAATGTACAAGATTACACATACACTTCTGCTGTGTTACAGACAAAAATGTCTGCATGGCAACACTGATCGATGTTTTCTGTAGCTGTCCAAGTCTGTTCACAGTTTCTATTTCACTAAGTCCTTAAACAACGCCAGAGCCCATACCGTGTTCCCGTTAGTGTTTACTTCCTGTATGCCTTCTTCTGTTGATGTATCTGACGTCAAGCGCTCCATCTTTTAACCTCTTTTCATTTCTCCATCTTAATCCTCCTTAGAAACGGTCATTATTATGCTTAGCAGCGGTCTGTACAACAGTCTTAACCCTCAGATGTACAAGTGATTGGACCCTACACTCTTCCATAAGTGAGTCAAATATCACCCATATTAGAATAATATGTGTTTTTATGACATTTTTGTAATTTTGGTTAAGAATAATCACTTAAAATATTTTGGTACACACAAGAAATATTTTATATTTAAATGTTCACGATTTATAATTCACACACGACTGAACGACTTATCCATGCCTTCATGTCCTCCCGCCTTGACTACTGTAACTCACTTCTCTACGGCATCAGCTCATCCTCCCTCAATAGACTAACTGGTACAAAATGCACCCGCCCGACTCCTCACACACACACACCAAATCATGGCACCACATCACCCCAGTCCCCGTCTTCCACTGCATCAACTTCAAAATACTGGCCCTCACCTACAAAGCCCTCCACCATCAATAATATGTTTTGTTATACCACTGTAGCACATCATTTCTGGGAAGAAGGAGGTAAGGGAGTAAAGGCATTTAATGACTTGTTTTGATCAAACTCGTACACAATCTAGTGCACTGGGGTGGATGGGAGACATTGAAAAGGATTGACCTATTTAGGCATACTCTAACAACAAACGTAATACCATGCTGTATACTCCAAATATCTAGAGGATTTAACCAGTGATTGATTATTGACTGTTCAATTTTATTTATTTTTAAGTTAAGTTTAGCCTAAATTAAATGTGAAAGTGATTAGAGGTATACACAGGGGCACCTTTCACATAAAACAATGTTTCGCTGGCACAACATTTATTTGTCAGAAAAGGCAACTTCAGTCGGTGATCAAATATGTGCATCCCTACTTAAAAGAGTATTTGTTCTGTCTAAAACTGTGCCCTAGCCCAGCCTGTGTGTGTGTGTGTGTCATTTCTTACCTCGGACTTCACGTCTTTCAGTGTGTGTGTGAGGATGATGTTGAAGACAGCGTGTGATCGACTGCTCTCCTCATTCATGTTGGTGGCAGCAACAGTCCGAGATTTATTCCCCTCTGACATTAGCACCTCGATGTCCTGTAAGAACAAGAGAAATTCAACAATTATTACATATATACAATTATAAAAAAAACTTTGAAGACTGTGAAGAACACAGTCATTTTTGTAATTCTTTGCATGATTCCTGTTTAAATAGTGAATAACTTTAGTCTCCTGGAAAGCTCAATTTGAATTACACAATTTATTTAATTTGGACGTGTTTATAACTAACCCCTTCCAGTTTGATTGGAGGGACTACAAAGCAAACTGCTGCTATCGGATGTGGCAGCCAGGATGCAACACAGCATTAGACGTCAGTGAATCAGCATGACAAAAAAGCATGTTATAAACTATTTTACCTTGTAGCACGCCACAGCTAGTCGAGACAAGCCATCCACGTAGGGACCCAAAACCTTATGTTCCCTCACCCTCAGAGATTGTTTACCCCTGGATAGAAAATAACAGTAGGTTTAAAACACAGACAAACAACTCTTGTTTGCACAAATTAAATATTACAATAGAGTACTCAACATTTTGTCCTCTGTACCGTCGTCTGAATTTTGAAACGTCACACTATAATACTCCCCATGGACTGCTAAGGAAATGTAGCTATCTAGCTAACTGTGGGATGGTCAAAGACTGTCCATTGTCCCTGTTAAATTATATGAATTGTCCCAGATTTAAAAAACAATGTCTTACAAATGATCTGATCTGATGAGTTGCATTATAGGCTCAGGAGGTTCTTGCCATCACTACGACTGTCCCCAGTTCATACAGACTCTGTTAGCACTTGGCTCTCTGACCCTGGTTTAAACTTGCTCCAGGCCGGACCACCTCATCATTCTCTGCTTCACGGCAAAGCACATATGGCTGTCAGATGGCCTGCTTCTCTTCGGCCATTTTTACTGAGGTGAAAGGTCATAAAGTGAGAGTGGGTCAAAGGTCATGCTGTCTGGGGTGGCAAACACAGGCCCGTGGTGCTGATTTACTGCTGGACATGAACTGGACTCTGTCATTGGCTGCAAGGCAGAGGAGTCATCTTTTCTCCCACTGACTACAGCAGCTGGTGGGACCACATCCACCGGCAACTTTCTCTAGTGATAACAACTTACTTCAATGTACTCAAGATACTGGCTGTTCAAGTCAAAAGTAGGCTAACTTAGCAGAGACAAACTGGATGTACTTGTATTTAAGGTTGATCCAGCAGACCATGACTGTTGTTTATTTGTGTTTCAGTCCAAATATCAGGGCTCCCATGGTGGGCATTTGGAAATCAATCTAATTTGAGCTTATTAATCACCATTGACTCAACATTTTCCGTTCGAGCTTCACACTAAAAGTCATAATTTGATCACTTCAGTGAAAAATGTGTTACCGTTAAGAAGCTCCAACAACTATATTTTATACATAGAGCCAAAGAGGTCGACAGAGAGGATTAAATGGGCCACAACAAAAAGGTGAGAAGATTAGTTCGGGGTCATACCCTTTGGGGTCGAGCAGATCTCGGACCTTCTCGTTGTAGATCTCCATGTAGGACACCTCAACAGTGAAGCTCTCCTCCTCCCGCTGTTCCTTCTGGGTTCGCATAAACAAAGCACTGCACAGCCGGGGAATCAGACCCGGCTGGTCAACTGAACCCATCATGGTGTACGACTTCCCCGAGCCTGGTTACAACACACACACAAATCCAATTAGAACAGAACATTGGTGATGTAATCATGAACCTCGAGGAACAAAATTGAAGCAAGTTATGCCAATTCCACTGAGTCCTTGCCAAGATGGTGTTAGTGAGTTTGATTTGGTTATTGTCCAGATTCATTAAAGTCTGTTTTACGAATGAGCTTACAAAGCAATTAAGCTGGTGGTTCAGTCAAGGAGACAACCTGGATTCAGAAGGTGTATGGTTGTATCTAGTTTGTACATTAATAACAAAAATAGGTGTTTTTTTGTATACTAATAAGACTAACAAAGCTAAGAGAGCACATGCAAGCACGATGCAAACTTGTGGCTTAAACATACCTTTACATTGTCAGTTTTCTTTACATTGTCAAACATGTGTAAATGTATTCATTATTCTTTCTTATTTACATACCTAAAGGTGAGGAGAATAATAATATCATTCAATTAAGATGACTGCAGTAGCCATGGCAGACACAATGTTATTGTATAGCATTAGAAAGTGGCTTTTGTGTATACAGTTGATTGATTTAACAGCTCTAGCAAGTGTGTGGAAAGATGTGCAGTGTTTTGTGTTAACACCTGACAGAAGAGAGGCTTTCAACCTTCCTGTTTCAAAACATTCTTACTGACACTCCTCTCTTAATCATTTTACAAAGAGCTTTAGGGCACTGTACTAATGACGGAAAAGATCGATTATTCACATATTGTCCTGTAGTTATTGAAAGCATGCGAAGGAAAAAATTGGAGAAGCACGCACGCTTGATTATTTTTAAAATGTCCAACTGATTCAAAACCGCTAATGTAGCCACCTTTTTTCTGAGAGGAGTCACTGTGAGGAAAAAATATAAGACTGATTTGTTATATCTGTTGTCAGATTGTCAATTAAACGGAGATCGTCTAAACTGTATGCTGGCTCGGGTCTCATCCGTGAACAACACAAAACACAGAGATCGCTTAACGACACCGGTTACACTTGGTAATTGAAGCCCCATTGTCCACCCTACCCTATGTTCTGTTATAGAATAGTTGTGTCTCATGGGAAGTTACCAGTTTGTCCATAGGCAAAGATACAAGCGTTGTAGCCCTGGAAGGCGTTGTGGAGAAGACTTTCCCCAAGGCACTGGAAGACCACTTCCTGACCTGGAGACAGACACAAGAGGAACTGTATTTTATTGCACAGTCATATTTAGTCTTTTAACTTCTTTGATTGGCTTTTAATCCATGAAATATTAAAACTTTAATAATTTTAATGATCAGTTAATTGACTCACCGGCAAATTGATCCTTATCCGTCTCATCCATTGACCAGAAACAGTAATCATAGGCAAAAACCTGGGGAGGGAAAACAGTGGCAGCACGTGAGGAATCTATGACGGACTATAATGGCGCCATGTTAACGTATTATGGGATTTTTACCTTTTATTTGCATTTTCTTGGAAAACATCAATAAATATATAAGGGTGAAATGTTATCCAAATGGTAGCTTGTGTATTCATGTAGTCCCTTAAAAAATGTGTTTTTAAATAGCAGTCAAATATGAAAAAGGCTCATATTTTTGATTTAATTCGATTTCAATTGATGAACAAAGTTTGATACAAATGGTTTCTTTATTTTCGTCTTTGTGCAACCTAATGTACTTTTTATGTCTTGTGATTTTTAGGTTAGGGCATAATGGGATTTTGTCCTCTGATAGAATAAAAGACAAAGGCTGAGTCAAAAACAAGTTTTAAAAAAGTGTCTTAGCAACACGAATGAAACTCTAATCATAAAAAAGCACTCTTCTGGCAAAACATGTTTTACAAATCATTACTTTGTAACACTGTTTTGTGGTTTATACCAGTTGACAAACTAAGCCAGATAAATACAGCGTCTTCTTTGTTAACACAGAGATTATTCACAGCTATTGAATTGGCTCAGTGTTAAAACATTCTGTGAAATTCTGTGTGTGAGCATGCTGTTACCTTGGTTTGATTCCTGATGATGTCGGGGGGGGGGGGGGGTCAACAGCACCATGTGGAGAGATAGGAAGATGACATTAAGTGCACATGTTACAGAGGATGCATTATGTTAAGCCTTGCAGAGCATGCTTTGGCAATTTAAACAGAATACAAATAATTTTCCTAGCTATCCATTACTGTTCAAGCTAATTATTATGTGGCCCTTGTATTAGAAAAGAGACGGAGAGAAATAACGAACAGAGACGGAATGAGAGACAAAGGCTGAACTGGAGTGGCTGGCCTCAGGCTCGGTCGCTTTAGTACACAATTCATTTAAACTCGGCCTTGTGCCTGAATAGCTTGTTTACATCTTGTGAGTTTGTCACATGTCAAAAAAACTCCTTAGGGGATTTGGTAAGGGTTTGTGTCTGTGGATGTCAGGATGGGCTCTGCTTTCACATCTGAGGGCTCGGGTAGATGGGAAAAAGGTCTTGGACTGGGTGGATTGTTGTGGGAATGTCTGTGTGTGGGCATATATGTGTGTGTGTGTGTGTGTGTGTGTGTGTGTGTGTGTGTGTGTGTGTGTGTGTGTGTGTGTGTGTGTGTGTGTGTGTGCGCGTGCATGCGTGCGTGTGTGGGGGGGTTGGCACTGAAGCTGGCTAAGGGTGGAGGCAGTGTGTGGCAGAATCAGATGGTGGCGGAGAGGGGTCACTGGGTCGCCAGTGGGTCGGGGTCATGCTCACAAATGGTCTAAAAATAATTGACATTTCGAGAGGGGGATTGGCTCTGATATTTGTGCGATATTTTGCAGTAAAAACTGAATAAATATATGTGCAGAGATATACCCACATGCAACAATGTCAGAATTAAGCACACAGCCAAGAGCCATGTCCTTTAAAACCCATCTCCTCAGCAGTCACTCCACATTTGAGGAATGCCAGCGCATCAGGACCAGGCTAATGATTTAAGATAGTTATGTTTTGAAAAAGAATAAAACCACAGCATAGAGTTACAGAAATATAGCCCTCCTCTGCAGAACACAGACAAATAATACCAGATGTAAATTACAAGAGCACCGTTTTTACACCCAATTCAAGTTCAAGATCTGTTCCTAGTAAGATCTGCTGATGTGAGCACTGAAGGTGTCTAGATCGCCTATGATTGGCAGAATCACATGCACTCACACTGTTAATGCATTAACTATAGTGACAGCAAGTTTTCATTTTGTACATGAAATCACTTTTGATGGTCAGCATGTTTTTGAAATGTGCATAAAAGTAAGTTGGTAATAATAAATAAGGGTATTGTTAAAAAATACTATAATTGCATTAGAAGCAACATGATCTGTTGTAGAAAGTTGCAAACTTCATATTACAGATAATACCAAACAGATTTCCAGATTCTCCATCTTTTCAAAAGTCAAATTTTAGAACTAAAGTGCATTTTTAAGATTTTCCAACGCCACATAGCAATTATAAATTGCATTTTGTATATGTTTATAGAGCACGCTTATTATTGCAATGCTTCATCATCTTCTTCAAGTAGAGATGGCATACTATGTAACATAAGCAATCAGCTGAGGCAATTTATTCAAAATCTAAGTATTTTACTATTTGACAGTTACAATAGCTGGAGGTGCCATTGTTATTTTTTAACTGCACTAATGAAAAGTCAATTCCTAGCTACATTTGATTAAAACCAACTAACATACTTCTCGTGTTGTAAAGTGAAAATCATCATTTGGGTATTAACTTCATCAATCTGGTCAGCGCTTTAATCTAACAGGCTTACTGCAATATGACAATGTCATGACCAGCAGACCCGAGGGAACAGATTCCATAACAATGGCAGTATTGTTTTCCCCATAAACTCATACAAAACACGCATTGCCCTAATGAATTTCTCTAATGTGTACAATTATTTCCTGTCCAGCGTTTCGATGAAAACATTCTCGTCCTAAAAGTGATGCTTTTCTCTATTTGCTTTGTTCTGCTCTGATCTTCCTCACTACAGGCCACCCGTAGTCTTCCTCCTCCTCTGTCTGTGCGGAGCTGGCCCAGAGGGCAGCTGTCAGTCAGAGAGTTACATCAAGTCAGATGATGAGGCCAGAGGAAGGGGATGATTAGAGGATAACACACTCACTCACACTATCCTTGTGAGGACCCTAAACCCAGTTGTTCCATTTCTTAATATTGTCACCATCAATATGAAATGCTTGAACTTACATCGTATCTAGCTCTGACCCTGAGCTGAATCACAAAAAAAACCTTGATTACATTTTTTTAAACTTAGCTCTTGGTAGGATAGACGCGCAGGAACACACACAAAGACATCCACACACCTGTTTCCTTTTAACCATGCACATTCTTCACAAAACGCCCAAGCTGCAGTTCTACACGAACAAGCCAGCTTCCAGTCCAATCTGCAATACTTCACATTTCACTGACACTCCACTGCTGACGTGCTGCATTCACAGAGAAAATGCATGCAGAGTAACTATCTGACGCCCTACTGATTCTAGCAGCTCTCTTTAAACCACAATGCAAATAGGACATCTTCTACGCTACTGTCTATGGAGGGGAAAAAAGAGAAGTATTGAAATAGGCTGGGGGTCTACAGGGGGTGTCTTAGTGGGTTTTCATTGTCAAAATGTCAGTTATTAGAATTTCTAATATTAAATTATGAATCCCTAATTCCCCATTATTTTTGTTTCCATGACGATCCTCTCTGGGGCTTTAAGTGCATCCTCCATGCCTTCTATCTATCTCTCCAACCTCCTAACACTAGGGGTGAAATTGGTGCGGCAGGTTTTGACGTACATAGTGATGACAGCCGTCACGATTGCTTCAAAACCTGCAGGCGAGAAGGGTCGCCCATGTCTTGCTCCGATTAACGCAAGCTAGGGGCCCTGCGACCAATGAAATGGGAGAATGAGGTAGTCAGGAGAGCCGAGAGCCCGCCTCCCTCGGTCCTCGAACACTTCCATTCGTCCCTCCTCCCTTCGGCATGCTCCTCCGCTCTGATCACCGTCATTTCAAAAATGACTTAATGCATGGCTGCTCCCCCCCTCCCCTCTCGCCTTCTCTACTGTTCTTGCATTCTTTTATTTTTTTATCTCTACGGGACTGTACCATCCACGGCTGTGTAGGGAGTGAGGAATGAGGAATGGAGGATAGAAAAGAGGCTGAAGGTAGCCAGGGGGGTTAGGGACGAAAGAGGCTGGGTCTGAGACTGGAATGTTAAGCTGAGAGAAACGGCATCAGTGTAACACAGTACATACGGATGGAGCAGGACATGGAACAGGCTAATGGCAGCAGCACTGAGTAACGTTGTATGGGGCTTTAGTTCCCCACATATTGTGAAAATGGCAGACGGCCAAGCATATCCTATCTCCTTTCTGACAACTAGTTTTTAGGAGGAAAGCTTTAACTCCAACTATATGTGTTAGATACAAATATGATGTGGTCTCTTTATAATATATTGCTTGACAGTTAATCCTGAAAATTAAAACATAATCACTCCCAAAAAGGGCAGTAACACAAACATGTGTTTATTAATAATTCCTTGACTGATTGATTTTGACCATAGCTAGCTTAGTGGAGCATGGAAGAATCATGCATGTGCATGACATTAAGCCCTCACATCATATTTTCCCTTTGTATCCATGTGATGCACATTAACTGAACCCCTGTGTAGTTAAGCTCTTTCATGCTAGTTTGCATACTATTCAAATAAATTAAAAAGCAAAGCTGACCTAGAAATAGAAATAGTTTGCATGGTCAATTTTTCCGCATCTAGCCATCAACAACAAGGAACTATTTCACACGTAAGCAAGAAATGTTCTTCCTGTACCATACAGGACACGATGAATTCCAGTAAAGATGCCAATTTCATACATTCCTACCATCCCATGCGTGTTTGGATGTTATCCGTGTGTTGGAGCTATATATTGATTTATATTATTTCGTAATTAAACATTTATTTTCTTGCTGTTTTTGCTTTGGTAAATTGTATTCTTATTTAGTGTAATTGTTTTAGTTAATTTAAGTTATTTAGTATGCTTTTATTTTGAAGGTGGTTTTGGGCCCCTGGTGATTTTCTATTTATTTATTTTGGTGGGGCACCAGAGAGGACACCTGTTTTGTTACCAGGATAAGCCACAGGGAAAGAGTTTAGGTGAAACAACTGTACTTGATGATGTTTGGTTAATAAAACACAAGAAAATAAATGCACAAAAGGATATTCTTGCCTGGACTGAGATTAGCTTACTGGTGCCGCAGAGGCAGTTTCATTTTGGGTTCATTTTCTGTTTTATTTCCCTGTAATTTTTCTGCTAAGCCGTGCAGTACAAAAAAACAAGGGCAGTGCTATGGAATCCTCCCCACATACGGTATTTAGGAGATGGACCATTTTGTCTGCTATCCTCCCTTTTCTTTGGAGCTACTATGCTGCTAGAGAATGGCACATTTATTGTTTCCTCCTCAGCTCTCAGGCTAAATGCTGACTCTCTTAATATTAACTCTGGTTTAAGGTCACAGAGCTAACTGATGTGTTTGCATTTTGTTTCAGTATCTTCTCACTACAGCCCAGGCAAGCTTAGTTTGTGCTCATTTAAACTCTTTCTCCTATGGCTTACATTTTCTGACTTTCTTAATGCGATGTGTGTCACCTGACAAAAATCTAAGATGTACTTGTGTTACCTCATACATTTCAAAGAATATGTTGCACTTAATCCCATGTTGCTAAATCAGTATTGTAACTGTCCAAAGCCGTACCTAAGCCTGGTCAAGTGGTCTGAAACTGGAAAATGGTGGAGAAAAGGCTCCAGCGTAGTCATGTGGATGAATGAAATCCTCTTTCCTTCATTGTTCTAAGCCTGTCATTATGTTAGTGGGCTGTTAGAAACTCCCACCATCGATGGTTCAGGACTGTTTAACCACTTTGCCTTTATCCTGCATCAAAACACCTCCAAACTCCTTTACGTCCAAAAACAGATATAAGGATTTTAAAAACCACATTTGGCCACAATGTAAGTCA